ACTTGTTGGGTCTTTCCCAAAAAGACTCATGGCTGTATTTGATCAAAAGGGTGCTTCTACTAAATACTGAGCAAAGGGTCTGAATACTTAGGACCATGTGATATTTCAGTTTTTCTTTTTTAATAAATCTGCAAAAATGTCAACAATTCTGTGTTTTTCTGTCAATATGGGGTGCTGTGTGTACATTAATGAGGAAAAAAAATGAACTTAAATGATTTTAGCAAATGGCTGCAATATAACAAAGAGTGAAAAATTTAAGGGGGTCTGAATACTTTCCGTACCCACTGTATATATTCCAAAGCAACTCCTGTCCTTAGACGTGCTGCTATCTAGGCTTTGATCATACAATCATGCAGCAAAATAAATAGTTGATCAACTTGTCAAAATATCTTCAATTCCTCTGTTTAGTTTTTGATGTCAAATGTCATTTCAACTGCACAATGAAACTCTATGGTATTTTAATGCAAATTCTTGCATGAAAATATCACTTGGTAACAGCAGCCAAATTATACAGGCAAGCGACATGTTTCCAGTTTGATACTGTGTTGTGCCCTAAGGCTAAAACCGGCTGGGAAGCACTGTTTTAAATATTTCATTAGCCTTATTTTCAACACAAAGCATTAAAATCATATATGTAGTTCTAATGTTCTTCCACTAGATGTCAGTATGCAGTTGAGTTAAGTAAAGCCCTATACCAGTTCTGTAAAAGGAAAATAGCCGGCAGTTAGTGTGCAACACATGCTGGAAACTGCATTAAACTTTTATCTGTCGACTGATTGAGGACAAATAGAGGAGTAATGAATTATTGAAGGGTTTAGAGTGGTTTGCGCCTGAGCATTTATGCATGACAGATAAACTTAACATGCCTTCCTTACCTTTGACCCCTACATCAATAGCCACAGAGATAGACAAAGTCTGGTGTAAAATATCCTCCATACTACAGAAGGGCCAAAGGTTAAGTGGTTTAACGGATATAAGAGATGTAGGTCAGTATACCTCATGAGTCACACGCTTGATTATTGTTTAGAGCCAAACTGATAGCAGAACTATGCAGACAAACATTTCCTTTATAATAAAAAAATGTCCTTGGTTATCAAAGTATAAATACATAACACAATAATATTTTATATAAATATGTAAGCATTACTGTGTCATACATAATGTTATATTAGAGATATTTTAAACTAAAACACTGATGATCTTGGAAATATAAAAAAATACTCATATACATGTGTCTACTATCTTTGCAATGTATATGCTGATGGTGATTTAATGATGCCTGAGCCACACAGGATTTTCTCTGGGCACAGTCACAGTGTTGTCTAGTCTTACTGAGTGGGTTAACTTCAGGGTCAGGAAGGAAGAGCGTGTGCAAGGCAGAGGGAGGAAGCCAGGCAACCCACACACAAGACAGAGAGAAAGAGAGAAAAAGAGAGCAGGAAAACACTATAAATCATTTACAGTAAAAGAAGCCTTCCCGTGGTCATTCATTAGACAGTCCCCTGTGCACACCAACTGCTAATGTCTAAATGTTACAATTTGCATACATTAAGATACTAATGACTTACCTGGCTTTTTAATTCAAAATGATTCATAAACCGTTTTCTACACTGAGTCATTCTATGGTTTTTCTATAAATAACTTAACATAAATGTTAAGTTACAAGTGAATGCTAAATGAAATTTTCTGAGAAAAGGGATGCTGCCCATGCAAACCTCACAGTCACACTCCTAGGTTCTTGTGGGTGGTTGGCAGGGTGTTGGCACTAATGTCTTGTGAGTTGTGGTTTTTCAGAAAAGCCCACCTATTCTCTGTGATATTATTGAACTAAATATAGTTTGGGCTCCTTCTTAAACGCACACTACTGTTCAAAAGTTTGGTGTCAGTAAGATTTTTATTTTTTTTTTTAAAGCAGTGTCTTATGCTCACCAAGGTTGCATTTATTTGATTAACATTCATTAGTTTATTCCTGTGATGGCAAAACTGCTGCCATTCAGTGTCACATGAATGATCCTTCAGTAATCATTCTAATATGCTGATTTGCTCCTCAAGAAACTTTTTTATTATTATTATCAATGATAAAAACAATTGTGTTACTGAAAATAATAATGCATTTCTTGGGTTCTTTGATGGGTAGAAAGTTCAAAAGAACAGCATTAATTTGAAATACAAATCTTTTGTAACATTATAAATGTCTTTACTGTCACCTCTGGTCAAATTAATGCATTTAATGCGTTTCTGAGTAGACATTCAAGTATTCAAAAATCTTACTTACGACAAACTTATGAATGATAATGTACATTTGTAACATTTTCAAGCTGTAGAAATTAACATTAGTTAATGTACTATGAATGAACAATATGTATTTATAAATAAGCATTCATTTATATTAATAGTGTAACAGTATATTTGTAAATTAGCATTAACCTAATAGATAGCAATACCAATAGACCTAATAGAGAGCAATAACCAAACGGACCTTAAAAATAAATCTATCTTTACTGTCACTTTTGATCACTTTAATGCTTTATTTTATTAAAAATAAAAACATACTATTGTAAGTTCATGGTGATCAATTCTGATCATATTTTCTCATGAGCTTTCATTTTAAAGGCAGACATTTATAGTAGGACAGACGAGACACTGCTTTCAGATTGTATGCAGCATGTTTCCACTGGTGCCAAACTACGACAGGAAACAAAAACCTCTGCTAATCTCCGAGTATACACTTCCTGCAGGGGAGGGCGGGAATCTGATATCATAATAGTGCAAGATCACACCTCAGAGTTCATACTTCAGAGAATTCAATCCTGACCAGGCCATAAAAACTGAATGGAGATTATCCATGAAGCAAATAAAAACATAAAACATTAACTGGATGGATGCGCTTACATCCTACGCAACTGCTCTCAGGAAGTCAATGACCTGAGGACGATCTGCATAACAGAGGAGGTGTGAAAAGGAGTTTTGTCTCTGGAGCATAGTGACAGGAATTGTCAGGAAACAGTGACAGGAAATGACCTAAGATTGGCATGAAGTTAAGCAGCAGGCCTGATAGGTAGATGTACCACAAGGCGTCTGCTTTTCTCAGTGGTGAGATTGTCATGACAATGGCTGCCAAGAGGAAGCAGCAGTCATACATGCTGATGCTCTACAAACCTGCTGTCATAACTGAGAGATTGTGAAACCATGACCACAGAGTAACCGCCATTTTTATAATTTCAGGTTATAAAACTTGATGAAGCAAGCAAACCTTATTAGTTCACAGCCGGTGAATCTGATTTAAATATTCAGTGAAAAAAAAGGTCTATAGTACCTCAGTGCATGAATGCAGTAGATCACCTTGGGCATATTCTTGCGATCGTACACATCGGTGGTCTCAGGATAGAAGATCTGAAAGAGGAATAGCGATATTCAATATTTTTAATAAATAATACTCTACAATTACTGAACATTTCCATTCAAACATTTGAGGTCAGTAGGGTTTTTTATATGTTTGTAAATACAGTTAAAAAAGTAATATTGTGAAATATTATTACTATATAAAATAACTGTTTTCTATTTGAATATATTTTAAACTGTAATTTATTCCTTAATTTTCCTCTGTGATTACTCCAGTCTTAATTGTCACATGATCTTTCAGAAATAATTATAATATGCTGCTATTATCAATGTTGTAAACAGTTGTGCTGCTTAATAGTGTTGTGGAAACTATGATACATTTTTTTCAGAATGATTTAATTTAATTTGTCCTTGCTGAATAAAAGTGTTCATTTCTTTCCAAATGAATATTACTAAATGGATACTAACTAAATGGATAGTTAATCAAGAATGAAAATTCGGTGATCATTTACTCATCCTAATGTTGTTCCAAACCTGTGTTACTTTTTTTGTGTGGAACATATTGATTGATTGATCGATTGATTGATTGATCAAAATATCTTCATACAGAAAGTCATACAGGTTTGGAGAGTTCATTTTTGGGTGAACTATCTCTTTTATTCCAATGAAGACATTTCTACCGCACACAGTAACAATGACATTATAGAGAACTGTGTGCTGCCAACTTTATTTGCAACAGTTTTCAAGATCAATCCATATCGATCTATACAGAAATGATTTACTGAGTCTGAACAGGCCTCCAGACCTGAACCCCACTGAACACCTTCAGGATGAATTGAACAGCGACTGTGAATCAGACCTCATCACCCAACATCAATACCTGACCTGGATGCTCATTTCTGAATTATAGCAAATCCTTGCAGCCATTTTCACAATCTAGTGGCAAATCTTCCTTGTAGAAGCAAAGGGCGGTCCAACTCCCTAATAATGTCAATGCTCTTGAAAATATTTAACAAGCACATATGCGTGTTGTGTTTCGGTGTGCACATACTTTTATCTATATAGTGTATCTAAACATGATGCCCTTTTGCTTCTGTGGCTTTATGTAATGCACTGCACACTGCAGTTTTGCATTATACTTGGAGGAAGCTTTTGCTTTTCTACCCTTGAGTGAAAGTTAGATGCTAATTTAGGTCAACAACTCGAACCATGAGTAAATATTCAATAAAAGCATTTATGCATTCATCTTATGGTACATAAAATAACTATCCATCCTCTCATCCAAACTGTCAAACTGGGCACCCTACGTGTACAGGGGACAGTTTTGTTTTGTTTGATTCAGCCAACTTCTTTTGAATGTTAATCTAATAAAATGCACTGTTATCTTCAAAGAGAGAAGATGGCAAGGATATGTGTGTGTGAGTGTGAGTGTGAGTCTGTTTCTTTAAAAGTGTGTGCTTGGGCCTCACCTTGGGCAAACCAACGGACTCCATGGCTCTGAGCCACTGCACAGTGTTATCTGTGTGTCTGAAATGTAGTCCTGAGTGCTGGAGAAAGTACAAAACAAAATAAATACATGCAACAGTAACATGTTTCATGCACATTTCATGAACCGTTAAAATGGAATTACATATAAAGCTTGAAAGTGTTGGGAGTCTGTTCCGCACTGACTTTTGTTTCTAATATTATTTACTGAGTATTATTATCTAATATATTAGTATCTAATATTATTTACTGAGCATCAGAGCTATTGAAATGCATCAGACAGGTACACTACTGTTCAAAGGTTTGTGGTCAGTAATTTGTTTTGTTTTTTTGAGGAAATTAATACTATATAAATAAAATATTGTCTAATTAGGATGCATTATACTGATCCATTTTACAAAAGACTTCTATTTCAAATCAATGCTGTTCATTTGAACTTTATATTTATCAAAGAATCCTGAGAAAAGTATCATGGTTTACACAAAAAATATCAAAAAGCACAACTGATGATTCTTGATCAGCAAATCAGCATATCATAAGGATTTCTAAAGGATCATCTGAAACTGAAGACTGAAGTAATTTCTGCTGAAAATTCAGCTTTGCTATCACAGTATATTAAAATATAAAATAGTTATTTTCAATTGTAATAACATTTCCGTCAGGACCACTATCGTCAAAGATGACTGACAATTAGCATACAGTTTGGATTGGTGGTATGGTTCTGTTCTGGGCAAGAACTCCCTGCACATCCATGCAGCCTAGCATGGATAAGAGCAGGGAGAGCAATTCAGTCTCAGGGAATTCCCACCCTAATATTTCTCCTCCCATGGGAATGAGACTTTCAGGATGTGAGGACATCTGTGTTGCATTTGAAAAGGCACATCCTGGCAAAGCAATGTGACATACTGGCTATGTTCACACAGTCACTGTTTGGGCTTGACACCTGTATTTACTAACAGGTGTGACTTTCCAAACGTACTTTTTAGGAGCGGCTGTGTGAACGTAAGGTAACATACAGGAATTCTGTGCTGAGCTAAAGAGTTGCTAAAAACCAATAAATAACATCAGAAAATCAGTACCTGATAACGAGATTTGACATACTGGCTATGTTCACACAGTCACTGTTTGGGCTTGACACCTGTATTTACTAACAGGTGTGACTTTCCAAACGTACTTTTTAGGAGCGGCTGTGTGAACGTAAGGTAACATACAGGAATTCTGTGCTGAGCTAAAGAGTTGCTAAAAACCAATAAATAACATCAGAAAATCAGTACCTGATAACGAGATTGGTCCCTGTCATAAATCTTCTTCTCTGACACCAACTGGGGAGCAAAGAACTTAGCCAGTTTTCCAAGATAGACGCCATTCCTCAAGCCGTGCTCCAGTTCTGTTGTAAGAGGCAGCTGCTCCCCCAGACAGGCCTCCATCCATCTAAAATCAAAAGGTTCACGTTTTAGCTCCTCACATAAGCAAGACATACTTAAACTTAATAGACTGCCAGCAAACGCTAAATGTTACAACTGGTAGGTATTTCACTACAATATGAAATCGACACTTTCAAATGATAGCAACATGGTTTTACATGCATTTATTTATGCATTATTTATTGAATATACTTCAACACAGATTTCTTCTGGAAAACAAGTGTGCTAACAAGTTAAGCCTTTGAATGAATTACAGAAGAGGAAGAGCTAAAGGCACACAATCAATTACCATGAAGGAAGCACCATCATGCCTATGGGCATCAAAAATTCTCTCTCTCGGCATCATAAAACATGAGCTAATGCTATTTTTAAACTTGTTAAAGAAGCATAAACGTTGCAATCTGGATATGCTTATAAAAAATGTATACCAAAAATGTATACCAGACCATGGTTCACTAGTTCTTCAGTTTATTAGATGTCCCCTAAAAAAAGATCACAGCTTGTCTTTCTGATACACTGCGATGCTTTATTATTATTATTTATTTCAGATATGAGTTCCCAAAGCACACCCAAATGATAAAAGCTCAGCTCTCCAAAAAAGTGAAATCAAGAGGACCACAACCCTTTTTTTTGTCTTATTCTCTCTTTTTTTGCAAACCCTTATGCTTTCTACATAACAGCCTGTTAAAAGACTTGGAACTAAATAATATAAGCCCAAAAAATGTGAAAGGACATCAGTGGTAAAATCCAAATGTTAAATATGGGCTTTTCTGGCATGAACAGTTAATATTAAGGTTAAGGTACTACTGTCACCCTTCATCCCATGTCTACACAGAAAACTGCAGAAAAATGTGATCTCTAAATGGATTCCTTCTTACCACTCTTTCACATCAGAAAAAAAAAACAAGGAAATGCTGGCTTTTTACTATTTTAAACAAAACACATCATGTATCACAAAAAAATCTCACCACAAAAATGTAACTCATATTTTATTATATAAAAATGCATTTAGACCAAAAGTTTGGGGTCTAAAAGGTTTTTTTTAATAAATTGAGACTTTTATTAAACAAGGATGCATTTGATCAAAAGTGAGAGTAAAGCCTTATACACTGTTGCAAAACATTTCTATTTAAAAAAAGGCTGTTCTTTCCAACTATTCATCAAATAATCCTAATCCATGGTTTCCACAAAAATATTAAGCAGCATAAACGTTTTCAACATTGGTAATAATAAGAAATGTTTAAGTAGCAAAACAGCATATTAGAATGAGTTCTGAAGGATCATGTGACACTGAAGACTGGAGTAATGACTGCTGAAAACTCAGCTATGCCATCATAAGAATAAATAAATTACATTTTAAATTATATTAAAACAAACAAAAAAACATAATTTTAATATTCTTAAATAAATAAATGCAGCCTTGGTAAGAATAAGTAACATATATGTATATATTCTATAGTTTGAATTAAACATTGTTTTCCTTCCAAAAGAAGTTACAATAAATAATTTAGAAAATAATTTGCTATGTTTTGATGTGCAATAATAGCTAAAAATCAAAGTTATAACCTGACATCATAGTTTATTAAACTATAATGAACTAGTTAATTAGCCTACAGTCTCGATAAGCGTGCAGTCATTTAACCACTCAGTTTTCCAGATCACTGAATCATTGAAATTCACCTGGATCATCCAGGACAACAAACAACATTCCAAACTGGTTGCTAGTCAGTGACCAGCTGACAAAAGCGACCTTTGACATATTCAGAGAAAGCCATATTGTCATGGCACCTACACTGGCATATCTTTTCTCTTGCCAATGAAGAAAACTGGCATTGGGCCCTTCAGGGCTGCCCAACCAACTGACAGCTAAGTGTCCTGCCTTCAGCTCACAAACATGGGGAAGTCTTCATTTAAAAAGATCAAATATCTGTAATTCATCCCTTCTGCTGATTCATGGGTTATCTACGCTTAAGCAAAAGAGTTTATAATCAGTGTTAGAACTGACAGATATGGTTGGGTAAGAAAAATGATGCTATACACTGAAAAAGTTAAACTATGTAGAGTTAAGTGAATCAGTTAAATCGTCAATATTATGCTGCGGTTCACAAACCTTTGGTTAATCATTTGTTAAGTCACTTCATTCCTACAGAAATGAAAGCAGAGTTTAGAGTTTGGTCAATTCAGAGGTTACTGGCATGCTCAATTCATTTGAGGTACAGCAGAATCAGGGCTCCAGACTGCAACTAAAACGGTCGCATTTGCGACCAAAAATATTAATTTGCGAGTG